TAGATGAGCAATTTTTCGTTCGTCTATCGCAAGTGGAGGCTCATCAGCACGGTTGATTCTTCTTATCATAATGAATTCATCCGTATTTCAAACAATTCTACCTCAACTTTCGTTAACAAATCATTCTGGTTTAGTCATAATCAGTTTCAAAATGTACCCCTAAGTGTTCGTAAGTTTGATCGGATTAGTTGAAAAGCTAACATAAAAGTGGTTTCTTTTTAGTTTTTTTCTTTTTAGTTTTAGTGCATTTAGTTTCTTTTCACCCCATGCCCCCTTCTCGTCCCCCTCTACATCAAGGATTTGATCGCTCGTTACATCTACTGAAATGTGCCTGTGGATAAGTTATGAAATTTGGATGTGTTCAAACGTTTAGAAGTTGAATATGACTGATAGTTTAAGGTGATCAGGATCATTGGATCCCGGCAAAGCTCGGTGTCGCATCGACAGCTACTGTGGTCATTGTTGACGATGATCATGCGGGTGCGTTTGGATTTAGCTCAGAGAAATTCAAGGTTGCAGAAACTGAAGGAATATTTGTGGCTGAAGTGAGTTCTGTTCAGATTAGCGGCAAAGGCTTTTCATAATGATAGTTTTGATCTCGCATGTCAACATTCTTCGCATTGTAAATGCTTCTGTTGGCAACTCAGAGTACCCATGCTTTCGAGCTCTGAAATTATTTGACTTATTGTCACTTCAAGTTAATGAAATCCTCATTCTGCAGGCAAACTCCAGTGTGAAAACTGTTAACGTCCCAGTGAGCCGTTAATTTTACTGTGAAAACTCGGTACTCTTTCAAACTTCAAGAACACCCTAAGACCATTCCAAATTTTAGGTGTTACGTACTCGTGGCGCACGTGGTGAGGTTTCAGTGCCGTTCAAGACAGTTGATGGTGATGCAAAAGCTGGCGCTGACTACACTCATGTCGAGGGTGTTCTTCGTTTCAAAGATGGACAGACTAAGTTCGTCAATCTTAATCCAGTGATTCCAACAGTCAATTAGCTTTTATGTGCCGTTGTTGTTGTGCTACGGAACGGTTTATGAATTAGATGCATACAAGTAAATAGCATTCAGTGTTTGTGTGATTGCAGAGCCGAGATTGAAATTCGGATCGTTAACGATGATGAG